CTTTATGTGAAGGACAGTGTGATTTTATAATTGATAGAACCTAGGAAGGTGGATCAAAAACTGATTTTAAATTATGGCATTATCGGTTGGGGCATTCAATGCTGCCCAAAACAGTTTCCTTTTTGAAACTATCAAAGTGTAAGAAATATGAAATTTATTATGTATATTTCTTAGCAAAGATGAACAAATTGTCATTTGGTGTTAGTGAATACAAGTCTAAACACCGGTTTGATCTTATTCATTATGATATTTGGGGACCTTGCAATGAGGTCTCATATGATGTTTTTAGATTTTTTTTTGTCTATTATTGATTATTACAACAAGTTTACATGGGTTTTCTTACTCAAGAGCAAATCTAAAGTAGGGCCAGCATTGCAAAATTTTCACACATGGGTGAAAACACAATTTGGAGTAAATATCAAGATTATAAGAAGTGACAATGGTAAAGACTTTTTAATGCATGATTTCTACTTTAAAAAGGGAAAAATGCATCAAGAAGCTGTGTGGAGACACCACAACAGAATGGAAGAGTCGAAAGGAAGCACCAACAAATTCTCAACATTGTTAGGGCCCTAAAATTTCAAAGTGGTTTGAAACTGAAATTTTGGAGCGATTTCATACTAACAATAGTATATATCATGAACAAGGTTTCCTCATCCATAATACAGTCATAACACCCATTGAGAAACTGTACATAAAAAGGCCTATATACACACACATGAAGGTTTTTGGATGTCTTGCATTTACTTCGACCTTGAATAACAATCAACACAAGTTTGACCCAAGAGCAAGGAGGTATGTATTTCTTGGCTATCCACTTAGAACTAGGGGATACAAATTGTTGGATATTAAAAATAGTAAGTTTTTTCGTGTTAAAGAATATTATATTTCACGAGTGGATAATGTCTTACAAAGTAAAGAAAAATGATAAATTTATTGCAGGAAAATATGAGCAGATGGCCCCTGGACTTGAAAATAATAGGGAGTACAAGCCAATTATTGAAACATAAAATATAATTAGGGAAAACAACAATGTAGTAGATGACAAAGAAAGTATTCAAGAAGAACTCGATAAAAATGAGACTAAAACAGAGAGAAATAAAGTGAACTAAGAGGAAGAGTATTTGGTTGAAGAAACATATCACTTAATTAGACCAAAAATGTCAAATAGAGAAAAAGGCTCTTGTCTGGATAAAAGATTATATACATGGTGAGACAATGAATGTGACTGTAGATTGGACACCTAAAATAGACTTAAAAGATATTAAAGGTATAGTCATTCATTTGTCTTTATATACGAGTTATGATAGGTTGAATACAATATACAAAAATTTTATATTTGCAGTAGACACAGAATAGAAACCAAGAAATTATCAAGAAACTTGCAGGGATACCAAATGGGTGATTACAATAAAGAACGAAATAGAAGCACTAGAGAGAAATGAGACCTGGATAATCACTCATTTGTCACCCAACAAAAGGATCATTGGCTGCAAGTCGATCTATAAAGTGAAATACAATGCTGATGGAACTATAGAGAGGTTCAAAGCCAGACTTGTTGCAAGATGGTACATGTAGAAAGAAGGATTAGATTATCCTAAAACATTCTCACTGGTGGCAAAAATCACTAC